TTTTTTCTTTTTGCTTATGTGGTGCTGAGGAATCAAACCCAGGGCCTCATGCATGCAAGGCAAGCGCTCTACCACTGAGCCACCTTCCCAGCCCTGCTGTCCTAATTTTTATCACAATTTTAGTGAATAGGTTATTCAATATTTTGAAAAGTTGAATTTGAGCAATATTGTTTCTTGTCATCTATAAATATGGTATATCACTCTTCATTTATCTATGTATGTTTTTATTTACTTTCATTAGAGTTCAGTAACTTTTAGCAAAGGCATCTTCCATGACAGTATCTTATTGCTGAATATTTGGATAATTTTTTCCATATCGTAAGTTGATTTTTCTCTTTTAAATGTTGGGTCATTTGCGCTGAAATTCTTAGATTATTTTTTTTAAATCTTACAAAGAATTTCTTAGAATTAATCTGACATTCCCATAAATATCAGCATAATCTGTAGTTATGGTGTCTTTGTCATTCCTTATTTTGATGATTTGTATGTTCTTTTTCAGTTTTTCATAGGGCAAACAAAATTAACTACGAAAACACCAAGTGCCAGGATGTCTTATGTCTTGTAATTCTAGCTACTCAGGAGGCTGAGATCTTACTTTCTAGCCAGAGCAGGAAAGTCCATGAGCTTCTTATTCTCCAGTTAGCTATCCCAGCCTACCCCAAATAGCTGGAAGTGCAGCTAGCTATGGCTTAAGTGGTAGTGGTGGCCTTCAGCAAAAAAACACAGCCCCCACTCTGAGTGCAAATCCGAGGACCAGCATCCAAAAGCAATAAACTATGGAAAAAAGTATCTAACTCTATTTTTCTCCATTGGGTATTGATTTTCTATTTGAGTATATCTGAGTCTTAATTTTATAATTTGTTTGAGTCTGTATTCTGGGTTTTATATTATGCTGCTTGTTTACCTTATGGAAGTGAATGTGCATCTTATTAATTCCTAGCAGTTTTCAGGGTGTGAATTTTAGTTACATATGTCCTTATCTTATACATATATATTTAACATTATATATTTTATAAGTACAATTATATATTTTATATGTAACATTTTTATCATATGTTTGTTTCCTAATATATTTTCTGAATTCATTGATTCATGGATTATTTCTTGGTCTATTGGTTGATTTATCAATAAACAGTTTCCTGGTTATCTTTTGGTTGATGATTTTGAACTTTATTGCACTACATTTAGATATAAGTTTACCTAATTGAAAAATATTAAAATAAATTTATATTCATATATTCCCAATTTAAAAATATTTTAATATATCTTTTAAATTTTCTTTTTGCATTTGGTTACTAAGGTCAAAGTATATTTATTCTATATATCTTCTAATATTTGTGGCTCAGAGACTCTACTTCATGTATAGTCTTTAAAAAAAAAGGCTAAAGAATATTTTGAATTCAATGCCAGTAGAGTGTTATTGTACTTCAAGTTTCCACTAAATCCTGATGAACTTCATGTATTGCTTGCAACATAGCCTGTAATAAAAATGAGTTTAAATTGTAAAATATATCTGAACTGGAAGAACAACATACGAAGTATATTATTTTATGTCATATATTCCACTAAATGCAGTTGATATTTATAACTGTAAACAACTATTGCAGGGGCCCTGGAACTTTATCTGACATTATTATATAGCTCATTACTTTCAGTGAGGGTCGCAGAGCTTCATGATTAGGTTGCTCTTGTCATTTGCAAGCCTGTATAAAAGCTCATGGGGAGTATGAACACCAAGGAGAAATGCTTGGTGTAATTCTGATAGCATGGTGAACAGTTTAGTCATGAAGTGCTGTGTGACTGCTTTACATACTATTACATTATTATTATTTTGTTTTCCATGACTATGCCCATTTCAAGTAATCTTTCACCTTCTCAAAAATTATGTTATAACCTATTTGATCTTACTAGTTTTGTTTCCATCATTTATTGTCTCTACTTGCTCTCAAGTTTTGTGCCCTATTTTCTTTTGGATAACCAGTATTATTTATTTTTCTGCATGTTAATGGTTGGAATTCTTGAGGCTTGGGTTAGTTGCCTATTGAATATACCCTGAGCTATCACTTGTTCTTATTATCTCTCAGGCAAATGAGTTCAAGGTTTGAGATTCCCTAGAACTCTGTGGCTGTGAATCTGTGCAAGAACAGTTTCTTCACAGTTTCCCTTAATCCTGAGGATATACATCACATGTGTCAATCAAACTTCTCATCCCAAAGGAACACAGAGCCCACAGCCCAAGTTGGTAAAGCTTCCTTCTGACTCTTTAAATCCTGTCCTTGCAAAAGGATTTCTGAGTCTCTTTCTACTTCCTTGTGTTCTGGTGTTTGGTTGATGCAATTCCTTATCCTTTGTAGTGCTAATTTTTATGTAAGACATTTTAACTATCATTATCTTACCTGTGCTCTCTGTGGAATTGATTAAATTGACCAGCGTTGGCATTGTGAGAACAGATGCTCAAAGGTAAATTCTATGCATGTGAGTAGAATGGAGAATGAGGAATAGTTTGGAGCTCCCTCCAAGCAAAATTTTTCTTTATTTCTTTTAGTGATTTAAAGTTTGATATTCCTTATTACCCTAGGCAATATATCTATCAAGTCTTTTACTCCTGCCCTTCCCATGAAGCTTGAGGTTTCATTTCTGGTTAGCAGAGACACAGGAAAAATGCTAGATGTCCGCAATCCACCACCTTCATCTCTGTTCAAGTTACTTTAAAGTATAATTTATGCTAATAGTTCAGGGGCTCAAACCTAGTCCTGCATATAGTGCTTTACCACTTGAGACACACCGCTAGCCTTTTTCTATTTTGTTTTTGGATAGGGTCTTCTTAACTTTTCTCTAGTTGGCCTAGAACTCTTGCTCCTCCTTTTCAGACTCCCAAGCAGCTGGAATGCGCACATTTTTGGAATAGAAGAAACAATAAGTGAACGAAGGAAAAACTTAATGTCCTTAGTCCTACTGGTAGAAACACAGAATTTCTTTTTCAAAAACTGAGGGGAGATACAATGAAAGTAAATATGGTAACTGTCAGCATAGGAAGGTAGATTACATCTCTCCAGAAATAGTCACAGTTCCAAGGAAGACAGAGATCAAATTTGCTTATGCATTCTAGGTAGGATATGGGTCTGTTCATGAAGTCATTCTAAATTTTGATTTTCATAGTCTCCTGAAAACTAGGCTATCTTGTTAGAAGGTAGTATTTGTTTTGGTTTCGCTGGAACCTTTAGAAGCTCAGAACCCTGTTTCATCCAGCAGAGGACCTTACCAGGTCTGACCTGACAAAACAATCCACAGATTTGTCAGGGATGGCTCTACTAGTCATCTCTGAGGACTCCATTATAGGCTGGAATCACAATCCAGAATGTTATGGGTACACAAACTCCTGCTGTTTTAATCTTTGTACATTTTCCTTGTAAAGGGAATCATATCTGTGTTTGTCAGACTTATCTCCTGAAAAGTTTATGTTGAAATGGACACAGGTTCTATCAATAAATGGGTTAGTCCACTTTCTGGTAGTGACACAAATAACTGAAATAATAAACTTGTCATCTTTTCCAAATTGGTTTGAGGGTTTTGTTCCAAGGGAAGATTTTTCTGTTACTCTGACCCATTCTGTTACTGGACCCATCCTGGCATGAATATCTGAGTAGGGCCAAAGCACTCCCTTGTTACCTACTAAGTAAAAGAATCAAAGCTGGTGTCCACCGTCATTTGATGCTCTGTCTTCAATGAACTAAAGAGTCCCACCAGACTCAACCTGTGTAATTTTCCAAAAACCTTTCAGTAGCATCATGCTGAGGGCAAAGCAATGACCACATGAGCCTTTCAGGACACAAAATTCAAATAATAACAAGGTACAAGGTGTGCATGTGGCACAGAACATGTGAGAAAATATAAGTATATTTTCACTAGATTTTGTTTTATATCATTCAATCTAAGTTTATAATTACAAGTTTTATTTTCATTAAAAGTAACTATAAACCTCTTGGGTTCTAGGTGTCCTAAAAATGTAAATCTTGTAGTTTCTAGAAAGTTCCACACTAGCTATTTAGTGACAAATATATTTCAACTACTGACACTTGATATCCTTTTATTACTAGACCTATAGGTTATTGTTACTACAAAACAAGCTCCTCCCAAGCTCTTTCTTCAGAGCCCCCTTAATTTCATTATTCCTGAGACTGTAGATGAGGGGATTCAACATGGGGATCACCACCATGTAGAACACAGATATCACCTTGTTCTGGTCAGTGGAGTAGTTGGACTTGGGCATCACATAAATGAATGTAACTGTCCCATAGTACAGAATGACCGCGGTGAGGTGGGAGGTGCAGGTGGAGAAGGCCTTGTGGCGGCCCTCAGTGGAGCGCATCTTCAGGATGGTGATGAGGATGTAGATATAGGAGACAGCTATTATAAACACTGTAACCACAATGATGGAGCCAGAAGTAAATGAGGGAACAATGGCAGGGACACTAACATCAGAACAGGATAGCTTAACTAAAGGAGCAAAATCACAGAAAAAATGATTGACTCTATTTGGCCCACAGAAGAGCATTGAAAAGAAGGAAAAGGTAAAAGAGGAAGCATTAAGAAAACCTCCTATGTAAGTTACTACAAGTAACTGCACACAGACTTGTGTGGACATTTTGATTGAATACAGCAGTGGGTCACAGATAGCCACAAAGCGATCATATGCCATGGCAGCCAGAAGGAAGCACTCTACTGTCCCAAAGAAAATGACTGTACAAAGCTGGATGGCACATCCAAGGTAGGAGATCAAATTTCTCTCCACTAGGAAGTTAACCAACATGTTGGGTGTGACAGAACATGAAAAAATTATGTCAGAAAAAGCTAAATGGCTGAGGAAAAAGTACATGGGATGGTGGAGCTGGGTGGAGACTCTGATGAGAAGGATTGTGCAGAGATTTCCAGATACAGTCACCAGATAGATGCACAGGATGATGATGAAGAGGATGACTCGAAGGACTGGATCTTGTGTTAAGCCCAATAGAATGAACTCTGTCACTGCAGTGTGGTTCCCATCCACCAGGGATTCCATCAGACAACAGAGCTGCTACCAGGACAAATCTGTGATACAAGAGTGCATGAAAGTACTTTTTACATATGATCATTTCATTTTTTAAGAACATATATGGAGTGTTATAAGCAGAGACATTAAAAATACTGGTACATATTTACATCCAATAATTAATCAAGCTATAATTTTTAAATGATTTCACAAAACACCTGAAAATTGCTTCCTATTATGTATTTCTTTAAATCCCAGTAATAAGAATATAGATATAACGATAATAAAAAATGATTGCTGAATATATTGGAAAACAGAAAATGAAGAATTGGTTTCAAGACAAGCTTGCATATTAGCTAATACAGTACACTTACCTTTACACAAAAGTGTTACAATCAGGTGTGTGTGTGTGTGTGTGTGTGTGTGTGTGTGTGTGTGTGTGTGTGTGTGTACCAGGGATGAACTCAGAGCCTTGAGCTCTCACTTGGCTTTTTTATCCAAGGTGCTGTCTCTCTGCACCTGAGTCACACCTTCACTTCCAGATTTTTGCTGGTTAGTTGGGGATAAGGGTCTTACAGATTTTTCTACTTGGGCTGGCTTTGAACCACAATCCTCAGGCCTTAGCTTTTCTGACTTGCCAGGATTATAAGCATGAGTCATCAGTGCCCAGCAACATGCATTTTGACCAAGTATAATCAGTAAATAAGTCAGAAGATATTTCCAAACAAATATTTAAAATACTTGGGCACAACCGGGCACTGGTGGCTCACGCCTGTAATCCTAGCTACTCAGGAGGCTGAGATCTGAGGATTGTGGTTCAAAGCCAGCCCAGGCAGGAAAGTCCTTGAGACTCATACTCCAATAAACCACTCAGAAAACCAGAAGTGGCACTGTGGCTCAAGTGGAAGAGCACTAGCCTTGAACTGAAGAGCTAAGGGACAGCACCTAGGCCCAGAGTTCAAGCTCCACAACTGACCAAAAAAATACATAAATCCTTGAGCACACATTTGATAGATCAAATGGTGCAGATGCCTTCTATCATTCCTTTGTTATTGTCATTTTTGGAATTATGAAATGATTTACTGAGTGTTTCCTTACCCTTAATTTCATGAAAATATTGCTTGCAATAAAGCAAGATGCCCACAAATCAAAATTAAACAGTTACATTAACTCTCCCAAGTTGAAAGGATCATGATGGATTAAATGATGAAGTACAAGACACTATGTTGAAAAGAACTTTACAATTTAGATAGGGAGGAGTGGGGGAGGAGGGAGGGAGTGTAGTTGTGGAGGTGGGAGGGAAGGGAGGGTAGGGGAAAAACAAAGGAGGAGGTAACAATGCTTGATAGGAAATGTACTCATGACCTTGCTCGTGTAACTGTAACCCCTCTGTACAGTATTTTTACAATAAAATGTATTAAAAAGAAATATTTAAAATTTTTAAAAATAGATATATTGAAAAGCTGCACATCTTTATTAGAAGTTAGTTGCTAATATAAGAAAGATGAAATGAACACCTGCAGTTTAAAGATCAAGAGCATGTAACACATAGTTTTAATGAGCAACGTTAATGTCTATAAAATTAATTTCATGACAGCTTACTCAATGTAGCTTGAAGTCATAGTTTCTCAGGTCTATTGTATATGCATGTAAATTTGAATCATTTTAGAGTACTTGAATTCGTGAATTTTTGTAGTTTTTCCATACGGATAACCTTCTTGGAACCATAATTGCATATATATTAAAGGTTATCATATGTTCCATACATGATTTTTATACAGATAGAATTGTACATATATATACATATTTATCCACATAGATACACATATACATCTATAAACATAACATACATGTACAATATATATGTATATACATATATGTATATGAATATATATAGGTATTACATTTTCAATCATATTAATATATTTTTATATTTAAGTTTTTTAAAGTTATTTTGTGGATAATTTCTCTCACGCTTATTAAATATTCTGTACCATTTTTCTTATATCACTATCTTGGCTCCCCTCAACTCACCATGTGATCTCTTTAAGTATTTTTACAAAGGAGTTGCCATTCAACAAAATAGTTAATGAATACAAACGCATCTTGATCAATGCCACCACTTTCATCATTCTCCCCTACCCCTCCCAACCCCAACCTTCCCTCATTTGTCTTAATTTTGTAAGACTGATTTTTATGACTGCATTCTACCCACCTCCTCTCTTCACTCATCTACTCCTTTCCTCTTGATCCCACTCCCCCTTTCAAGGGTTTCTTGGTGTTTATTTTGTTGGACTATGAGTTAGCCTTTCTAAAGAATTACACCATTTGGATTCTTACTTTATCCATAAAATGAAATGTGCTATTTTTATTTTATAGATGAGTTAATGGACTGTGAAAGCACAAAGTTATATTGCACATGGCAAAATCAGAATAGGAGCTCCAGGAAGTCTGACAGCCATTTCCTTATCCCTTTGCAACAATATACAGATGAAGTTAAATAATAATTATTGAGACATGATTACCATCAGCAATAAGTGAATGACAGACTTTAAGTTTTCTGACAGCTAACAAGTAAAAGTGTCACCTTGTTTGTTCTGTATGTCACAGAATAAAGCAGTTAAATATGACACTTTTTATGTTTTGGAAGCTGAAATAAAATTTTTTCTTGATCCTATAATCAGAAAAAAATCAAAATGTAATTATAAATAAGGGCACATACTCTAAATTTACCTTTATATATTTGAAATAGGAATTATTAATTTTGCTAAATAGAAATCCCAATCACTATGGGAAAATAAAAACATGATTAGTACTTACCACATAGTCAAAGTAGGTTCATACGTATTAATCAAGCCACTTCCTACTGGAACACTGATTTCTAAAAAGGATTTTTTTGGTAGCATGTTGTAATGTTATTTTTGATGCAATATATAGCTGCATAAACTTCATGTTAAAAACTTGAAGTGAATCCTTGTACTAGGTTGTCCACGCTAAATGTTCTGAATGGTAGTCAAAGCTTCCCATATAGTTTGCCTTGAATATAAAGCATTACAAAGGCTGGAGACATGGCTTGATTGTTACAGCACCAGCTGAATGAACACAAGTCCCTGAGTTCAAAACCTAGTACTGCCTGCTTAAATTAATGAAAAATGAATTCAATTTTTCTGTTTTTGAAAGCATTTAGCTCCATAAAAATGTCTTTCTTCAAGGGATTAAACATCTTTACTCTTTGGAATTTTCATTTAAAAATTTAAAATGCCCATTCCTCCCAAAGCAACTCTAAACTATTTATTTTTTTTAGAAGACTTCCAAGTTTAGATAGTGCTGAAAGACTATGTCTTATAGTGTGGTCTCCAAGGAATCCTGGTAACTTGGATTTTAACTAATAATTCATGTGAAACCAATGGTGGAAAAAGAGTAAGTCAGACAAAATTGTCCAGTAGATCTACCTGTTGCACTATATCTTTTCTATGGAGATATTGAGAGAGAAAAGTTATCTCAAATGTTAAATGCAAATCAGTAAATTACATTCACTAATAAAACCCCACTGTCATATCTTAGGCATGAAGATGAATTCATCTTTCAGCAGCAAATCAAACATACTGTGAGTATATAGCTATATAAAAAATGGGCCAGATACTGGTGGCTCACATCCATAATCCTTACTACTCAGAAGCTTGAGATCTGAAGTAAGAGTTCAAATCCAGCCTTAGCATAAAAGTCCACAAGACGCTTATCTCCAATTGACCAGTACAAAGCTGGCAAATCTCTGGGAGCACATCATGGACAAATCCTTGCACTACCCTGTGTAGTTGTGGGGTGAGCGTTGGCCATGTATTTGATGCTACTTTGAAACAAGGGAGCAGCTTAAGAGTCTTTCACTGCACCCAAGCCAGAGAGGTTCAGCACCCCTCAATCTCCTGCCTAGGTATATCCCAGGACAAGACCAGAGAGAGGAAAAGTCCACAATGTGTATCCTGAGGCACTGTGTGCCTAAACCTATCCCATTCTTGTGCAACAAGACCTAACGCCGAGGGCTATTTTGCAAATGAAGTACCAGATCCATGTCTTAGGGAGAATATTGCAAACTTCTAATATTGAAGAGCTCCTGAACTCCTCAGCCCAAGCTGCCAGACCAACACAAGCAGAGGGAACAAAAAAAATTAGCATAGTTCACCTCCACCCACTCATAATACATGGGTCCACTCCACACGCTTCTCACCACCAGCAGCTCCTAAATGAGCTTGGTGTCTCATCATCCCCCCTAGAAACACTTAAGTGGATCAGAGTTTCCCTACCTTACAGGTGCTTTACTCACTGGAATTCTGCTAAAGGAGATCAAGTATATATGTTCTAAAGACACTGATTTAGTGTCTTGGAGGCTTTGTGTCATTTCCTCATCCGCAGGGCCTTCTGGGATCATGCCTCATTCTTTGTCATACTTTGGTAACACGCAGCCCAGGGAGCTAGGGAGGGAATCTTTGCTTAGGGAATGACACACACCATGCGAGGTGGTTAGCATATTTTGGCACCAGCATGTCCCCAGTGCTCAAAAACCTCTGAGAAGAAACGGCCTAGTGAGCTTAGCCTTACAGGCTGTCTCAATAGCACAGGACAGGACCGTTTTAGTCCCTGCCCTGGGAGCAGTTGGCCCATAGAGAGAATGAAATCATTTCTCTCACTCCATAGAGAGAATAAAATCATTGCTAAGTTTCTACTTTGTAGTTGCAAACAATTGACCACTACAAAAAGCTTCAGCCTCAAATCACTTCTCCTGGTCCTCAGTATGCACTAAAAACAACAGAAATAGCAGCAAGACTTGCTAGATACCAAGTTGAAAATTTGTGGATGGGGACAGAAGGGAAAAACCGGGAGAGAGGGCAAGAGAAGGGTTAACATTACCCAAATAGAAATATACTCGTTACCTGAGTTATGTAACTGGAACCTCTTTGTATATCACCTTTATATATATGTATATGTATGTTTATATATACTGTTTTATATATATAACAATCAAAATTATAAAA